GGCGCGACACTGAGGGTTGCGATCCGTTGCCGGTCACGAAAAAAAAAAAAAACACACATATGTTTGAGGTTAAGATTAGTCTTAGATTTATGGTCTGTGAAGAAACAGGCCACTCCAGTCGGTGGAATGGACCGTTACTGTTGTTTCCATCTGTGTAAAGCATATTTCTAACTCCCTGAAGGGTTTTCTAACTTGGGAAGAGGGTGAAGGGCTAGCTGAGGGGCCCACAGGAATGCTCATTGCCTCTGTGCGTCCTTCCAGGGGACAGCTGTCATGGTAACCCAAACACAACTTGCTCCTGATGGGAGCTGCCACAGCCAGTGGCCAGTGTTGGATGTGGCAGTGGAAAGAAATGTTTAACTGGAGATTATACCCATCTACAAGATGAAGGTCCAGCTGGGAAAGCCACAACAGCACCCCACCCACTCCACACAGCCTGCTGGGTCTCCAGAATGGCAGTCTACAACTCGCTGTTCTGCCTGTGATCCTGATCAGGAATTGCTGTACATTTTCACACTGATCCCAGATCAATCACTTGATTGTAAGTCAACCATGGGCAAGCATAAATCCCCGCTATGAGGATGAGTGAAAAGAGAAAATCATAGGAACTTTGAAAATATTCCTCAAGTCAAGAGACCACCAAAATTGAAACAAAGTAAAAAGAATAAACCCCAAAAGATAACATACAACATAAAACTTTTTTAATTAAAAAAATAAATAAAGATGCAACAAAACTTCATAAAAAGGAAAGCAAGGGAAGGATAAACATGGGTTTCAGGTGCTTTCCTTGAGACAAAATGGATTGGAAAGGGGGAACTGTATGGCTAGATAGGTTATTGTCAAAGTTTCAGTTTCTATGTGGGATTGTGGTTTCATAAATGCTTATTATCACTCATTATAACAAATAAAGCATGGACCAGTGATGAGAGTGTGTCATAAACCAAAGATGATGATAACCCAACTCTATGTGTTTGAGGTCTAAAGAGGTGGGAGTGGGGGTGGAAGGAATCCAAGTAGAAATGATCAAGAACAGTAGGATCTGGAGGGATCGAAGGAGTGGCACGGTCTCTTCTGGCCTTTTTAGACGTATAACATTCTTCGAATCCACAAGGGTCAGTATTCATTTATTCACCCTACTAACTTATTAAATCTCTCTGCTGGGCAATAACCTTCTGGTGGATATGGAAATGAACAGATGAATAAGACATAATTCCTGACCTCAATGATTTTACAATTTTAAAGACAAGACAGAGCTACAGAGAAAGGAATAATAAAATAAAAGCCACAATGGAGATTTAAACAAAAACAACTGACCTTACAACAGGCCACAAAGAAAAATCTCAGTTCTAACAAGCACAAATTAGCCACATTTTTTCACACAAACACAATAAACCTGTAAATGAAAAATGTAAAAATTAGGTTGAAAAACAACACAGACATTTTTAAATGTCCTCTTACCTATTGAGGCAAAGAAAAATATTGCAGTTACACACCATCATTTATAAATAACATGAAAATTCAACCAAAGCTGAAGTCAGAGGTCATTTTTAGCCTCAAATGCATACAGCAGTCCCCACTTATCCTCAGGGATCTGTTCCAAGACCCCCAGTGGATGTTTGAAGCCATGGGTAGTACTGAATCCTGTGTACACTTTTTCCTTATACATGTATACCTGTGATAAAGTTCAATTTATAAATTAGGCACCATAAGAGATTAACAATAACTGAAAATAAAACAGAACAATTATACTGTATTAAAAGTTATGTGAGTGTGGTCTCTCTCTCAAAGTACCTTATTATACAGTACTCACCCTTCCTTTGATGATGTGAGATGATATGATGCCTATGTGATGAGATGAAGTGAGACGAATGTCGGAGGCATGGTGACATGGCCTTGGGCTACTATTAATCTTCTGACGATAAGTCAGAAAGAGGATCATCGTCTGTTTCAGGTGATCCTGGATCGCTAAGCCATGACGATGTCAATGGTTGGCTGTTAGGAACACAGGAAGTCGGTGACTAAGGGCCAGTAGTGTATACAGCACCTTAGATACGTGGGATAAAGGGATGATTCATCCAGGACTGGATGGAGCAAGACATGCCGGCATGAGATTTCACCATGCTACTCAGAACAGCGAGCGATTTAAAACTTAAAAACTGTTTATTTCTGGGATTTTCCATTTAATATTTTCACACCCTG